TTTTTTTTTTTTTTTTTTTTTTTTTCTGAGCTGGTGATAATGGAGCTCTTGCAGCTGATTGCTGGCTTTGGCTTTTATGCGATACGATACTAAGCCTCCTCCCATTATTGAAGAGGTAGATCCTCTCCCCCATACAGGCACTCACAATTCTGTGTCCTCCAGCGCCGGGGGACGCTCCAGAGCCTGCCTGCGCCTCCTCACGGCCCCCAGAATCTTCTTCCGAGGCCCCAGGGGCACGCTGATGCTGCGGAGGTCAAGGTCAGAGCACAGCATCAGAGCCTCCAGGTCAATCTTCTCCTGCCGCAGGAGGGAGGCAAAGTCCTCCAAATACAGGGAAGCCAGGAAGGTCTCCAAGGGGCTAGTCTCGGGCTCCAGGTCCTCATCCAAGCCCAAGTCTAGCTCATCCCAGGGCAACTCCTCCCCGCAACTGCGGTCCTGCAAGCTATTGGCACTGCCCAGGCTGTCATCGTCCAGGCTGGGGGAACTCTGCAGCCGACCCCGCGTCCCTGTCCCATCCAAGCCACCGTCCTCGCGGCCCAGCCCGTGCAGCCCGCTGCTCAAATAGTTCCTTCGAAATACCATGGTACCCAAGCCGGGGCGAGTAAACAAGGAATCGTGGCCTGAATCGGTGCTGACCTCCGAGTGCGCAGGCTCGGCAGCCAGTGTGGCACGGGAGACGCTGTCCTCATCCGAGAGGAACATGTCCCTGAGTGGGGCACGGCCCCACTCTTTGGGGTTGGCGTAAGTGCCCTGGCGCACAAACATCACATCGCTGCCCAGCTGCAGGCCCGAGAGCGATCGGACGCTTTTGCGCCCGTCCTCGGAGACCTTGAAGGTGCCCTCGCCCCCCTGCTTGCGCCTCTCCAGCTTCTTCTGGATCTTGGCCTTGCCCTTGGCCGTGCCATGCAGCGTGGCCTGCGAGTAGGGCAGCTGGCTGCCCAGCGTCAGGTGCTGCAGCCGGCGGCTCAGGGTGCTGGACGTGAGGCTGGAGAAGCTGAGCGTGTCGGAGCGTTCGGCCAGCTCTCGCCGGTAGCGCCGCTCCATGCGCTCATGGTGTTTGCGCTGCATCTTGGCGCACTCGCGGATACGCCGCTCCGCCTCGCGAAAGGCCTTGTCCTTCAGCTTGCCCACCAGCTTGGGGTTGAGGCTGCTCTGCTTGGCTGCGATCGAGTCCAGATAGCGCACGCTCTCCATGTGGCCTTTCATAGCGGCCATGTCCAATGGCGTGTGGTAGTCATTGTCCAGGCACCAGATGTTGGCCCCGAAGGATACGAGGAAGGACAGGCAGTGCAGGTGGCCATTAGAAGCTGCCAGATGCAAGGGTGTGTTTCCCCAGATGTCACACTTATCCGGGTCACCCCTGTAGGGGAAAGAAAGGACGAGTCCTTTTAGCAAGCCAGCCTGTGGGCTGGGTTGGAGGTATAAGGAATCTGGGTTGGGGGAAATCAGAAAAAGAAAGGAAAGCCCAAAGACATTGGTGAGCTTCCTGCAGCACAGCACCCCCTAAAGCGGTGGTTCCCAATCTGTGGTCGCGATCCCAACAGAGTCACATATCAGATATCCTGCATGTCAAATATTTACATTATAATTCATAACAGTAGCAAAATTACAGTTATGAGGTAGCAACGAAGTTTATGATGGGTGGGGTGTCACCAGAATATGAAGAACTGTATTAAAGGGTCGCAGCGTTAGGAAGATTGAGAACCACTGCCCTAAAGAAACGCATGTGGCTGAGACCTAGACTCCCAGGAGATGAGCCAACAGATGTTTCCGGACTGAGCACAAAGCAGGAGTATGGGGGAATGGCCCAACCCACAAAGGGGCGGGGCTACATAGGAGGCGGGGTAGGGCGGGCCTTCCCCTAGAGAACAGAGGGCTGGGAATCTCAGGGGATAAATATTTGATGCGCTGAAAGAAAGGAGTGAATTATTCATGGACCCTGCGGGGAGCGGGTCCAGAGAGGTGGTGGGTAAGGGCTGAGTCTGGGTCTCTAAGCGGGTGAGGTGGTTTGTGAAGCCACATGTTACAGGGTGACTGAATAAGAGAACTAGAGGGTGGTGTGTGCCGGGCTTAAACTTGGAAGAGCATGAGAGGGTGCCCGCTGGCATGCAGTGGGCACCGCCATGTCTGCAGGGAGCGGGGCCAGGCCTGGCAACGCCAGTGTTAGAGCAGGTGTCGGGTCTTGGCCTGGGCCAGAAGGGGACTGTGGGGACAGCCAGGACTGGAGAGGAAGAGGGCCGGCAACCTGGCTGTGCTGCTCTCTCTTGTTCAAGTTGCCCTTTGTAGCCGGTGGCCTGGCCCCCTCCAGAAGCCCTCGCTAATGCCCTCCGGGTCTGACTCCGGCCCACAGTCCAGCTCCTGCTGCCTTCTCTAGGAATCTTGACTCTCTCTCTAGTCTGAGCACCGGGTCCTGCCCAACACTAATGAGGCCACAAGGCCAGCCCAGAGCTGGGGAAAGAATCACTCCCTTGTCTCAACACCTCCCAGTCTCCCCCACCCCCACCCCTACCCCGCCC